CACGCCGCAGCGGTAATGTCTTAAAAGCGCCGGACACGTCATCCTTCCGGAGACGAAGGCGGCACATGGTGGACACCTTCCGGTTGTTCCACAAAGTTTGGGCCGCGCCTAAAAGCACGTCTAAAGAATCATGGCGAATTCTCTCGCAAGAAGCTGTGGCTGCATTTATTCTAGATGCTTTGAAATCGTCAATCGGCCGGGCTTTGTGATACCACTTGCCCTGCCGGCGCCTCCACCCCTCGTCAGCAGGGAAACGGGGAGTGAGAACGGCGCTAACCGGCAAGTTTGCCAGTTCAATCCAATGCGCTTTACCTGCCCGGACTTCGTCCTCTGTCTTCTCCAGAAGAGACTGTCGCAGAGAAGACGCCGCAGTCTGCTCGCCCTTCACGCGCTCCATGGTGCTCGCGTTGATGGCCGGCGCCTCGCCGATCAACTCGTCGCGAGTGAGCGCCGGGGCCTGAGTTTGCTTCAGCGGCAAGGTTCCGCTCGGACGGATGGTACCCAAGAGCGGGAAACCGTGGGCAAGGTGATGCGGCAAATGAATGTCTGGACTGCCGCTCGCGCAGAGCATCTCTTTGAACAGGAGAAGGTTCTTTTCAGGACCAAGCACTCGCTGCACATGTGGGTCTAGCGACCCACGGAGACGCAGCCAAGCTGGTTCCGTCACTCGTTTCCTTTCCCGCCAATGCAAATACGCATCTTTCCGAAGCTGATGGGCGCGGTGAGGCTCCCCGGACTGGAGCCTAAGAGCGGCCTCCTGCTCTTCGGGCAACCGAATTGCTTCGGATAAGGCAGGAAGCGTTGAAGCCCAATTCAAATGATCCCAAGCAGACATACTGCGTATGCGAGCTTTGTCGGACAGGAAGCGGTCGACTTCGCGCCGCAACTCCATAAAGTCATTGGTGAAACCAAAAGCGAACGAGGAGTCGCTTTCGCATGGTGCATCCGCACCGCTGTCGTCCTCGTCAGAGGACGCTGCATCTGAAGGTGACGTCTGTCACCATTTCTTTCCGCCCTTGCCACCTTTGCCATTGCCGCCCTTTCCGTTTTTGTCCTTGCCCTTGCTGCCCCTGGGGCTGCGAGACCGGCCCGTGTAGGGAGGCGATGAGGGAGCGGCTCTTGGGCCACCGCCCCAGGTCGGCTTGGCAGCGCTGCTCTGGGGAGTGCCCTTGCCGGATTTCCCCCCGGCTTTTCCGGAAGTGGCCCGGTTAGTCTCTTTCGTCCGCTGCTCCAACTTACTCTTGGCGTCGCCAAGCTCGTCCTTGTGCACGCGGAGGAGAAAGTCATGGACCTCAGTGGTTTCTCCGCGCTCCAGCGCCTGAGCCATGCGCTGACGCAAGACAAGGTCGTATTGGTACGCGACTCGCACTCCTCCCAGCTCTTCTGAGATCCGGGTGAGATTCATGACGTAAGCCATGAGCTCCTTCATAGAAAACACTTTCATTATGATCATTTTGGTTCCCCAGTCCATGACGTGGCCGAGGAAATTGGGGAAGCTGGTGAAGCCCACCCGGTCTTCAGCCGACCTCGCTCGCTTCACATCCAGAACCGCTTTCATCTTGTCTTCCAGCGAGCCTTCGCCCACAAAGACGTCGATTTTGGGCGTGCGAGACCATGTTGGACGAAAGTTCAACATAAGGTCTTCGCCATCAGACGCCCCCACAAAGTGGCGGCCCTTGTCTTTGGAGCTCTTGCCCATGCCTTCCACTCGAATGAGCGATTCTTCTGAAGGCAACAGCTCGCGGGCGAAATCTGCCAGGCCCACTTCGGCGAGCCTCGTCTTGAGGTCGAAGCTGAGGATGCCTTTCTTGGGTTCCTTTTCTTTAGCATTTGTGGCCGCAGTCAGGGAAGCGATGGCCTGCGCCAGCGCGTGGTCGCCACCGTGGGCCCCGCCGGACGACCCGGCTGACAAATCCCGGGCTTTCTGAGCGTTCGCTTGGACGCGGAGACACAGAGTGAGGTGTGCAGGGAGAAGCACCTCGTCTTGCCAGGGTCCGGCGTCGCCGTCGCTCTCGAAGGGAGTGGCGCCCGGCTTGATCATATCCACAATGAGCGACCTCATGTGCGAGTCGGCGTAGTCCACTGGAGTTGTGGACCCCATGGTCTGCGCCAAGACCCGGGCCGCGAACGCGTAGAAGATCAGAGGGTGCTGGTCTCGAGGGGTCTCATCTGCTGTCGTCACGAACTCGATCCACTGTGCAATCTTGGACTGTGAGGCTCCCAGGAAAGAACCCACAGGCGCTGACGCAGCCATGGCTTCGAACTCAGTCTGCTGGAAAGACATATTCGCCTCGCGACGAAAAGGGCGGGCAGGGATGCGCGCTGTGGCAGAGAATGCACGGCAACAGTGGCGTCACTAGGAGCCCAAACGGTTCCGGAGAGTGCATACACAATGGTTCCTTTGACACACTTACCTTGTTTGGTGTGTAACGTGACCGGCGCTGGAAGCGAGTTGCTGTTTAAGGAAAGAGCAGAAGAACCCTTCCGCCCCCTATCCCCCTCTGCGACCTGAATGCGCCATCCAGGCCAGCAGAGGGCGTCATAGGGGCGCGGCAGTACAGACAACAGGGAAACCCCACCATCGACCGAGCATCTCCGCTCAGTATTTGCATCTGCGGCTGCACCCACATCAATCCGCGGGCACGCGGCGTGTGCTCCGACCTCTCTGGATCTTTATTTATTCCAGTTCACGCCCACAGCTGCGCCCACACATTCGCTGTCGAGTCAACGAGAGGGGATGGAGGGTAACTGATTGATGGATGGTAGAGCGCCCGTTTTGGGCGATGCTGTCCTCCTGGACGGTTCGCGGGAAGGCTTACGCACGTTCCCCGCTACTTGCAGCCCTCGGCGGTGGACTGCAGCTCAGCAGAATGGCTGATTAGAGCCAGTCTTGAGAAATGCGCCGACCTGGACGGGCGACTTGCGAAATCCGACATGGATGAAATCCCGCCGGAATCTGCATCAATTTCTAGCCTCCTGGGCCAGATTTCCACGAGCTGCACCAGAATTGAATTCTGAGTACGCAAGTGAAAAGGCGTCAGCATGGACTTAAGACCACGTGCGCCATTGTACGCAGGGTCTCGGGGTCGGTCGGGGGCGGGCAAACACACCCGCCCCCGTTGTGTGCAGGTGGGGGGTTAGCCAATGCCCCCCCATCAAGGACTAGCTTCTGCCGCCTGCACACATCCGACCCCGAAAACCCCAATTGTGCGAAGCACAACACTCGCGAGGCCCACATAGCACAAACTGCTATCCGCCTTCCACGCGCTGACAGTTTCAGCGCTGACATCTAGGCGCGGCCGGAATTCGCAGATTCTCGTTCCATGTGCAATTCATGGTGACCGCACCGCTCCGCGGATCCACGCACCGACTGCGCATCTGAGGACGGCATCACAGAATGCGCGACCTGCGCGTCAGAATGCGAATCTGGATTGCCAGGGCCAGAAAGCGCGCAGTTGCGCTGCGAATGCAAGTCAGGCTGGCAGCCAGCCGCCAGGTTCGGCCCAAGTCCGAGAAGAATGCTGGCCCGGTCTTGCCCTGGAAAACTCGCGAGGCAACCAGCTGGAACTGCGCCTAGGGGCCTGGGCAAGGGTCGCGATGCTCTGGAATCCTTCTGGCGACAGCCAAAAACTCCACCAAATCGCGCATAGATTGCGATCGTGCTTGCGCCAGAATCTGGATTGCGATTCTGGGCGCGCCTGCGCCAGTAAACGCAGAATTGCACTCAGCTGATTCTGGGCGCGCCTGCGCCAGCACGCGCGGTTTCGCGCTCGGATTGCGATTTTCACCCGGGCCGCAGTCGAAACTCGCCATGGGGTAGCCATGCAAGCGTAATGGGCACACCTGGGCCGCAGCTGCTGCGAAACGAGCACGCCTGGGCCCGACTTGCTGCCACACCCGGGGCAGCCACGCAACGCGTACTGGGCACACCTGGGCCGCAGCCGCTGCGGATTCGCGCTCGGATTGCGATTCTGGGCGGGCCTGCGCCAGCAACCGCGGAATCGCACTCAGATTGCGATTCTGGGCGCGCCGGCGCCAGAACGCGGGAATCGCACTCAGATTGCGATTCTGGGCCCGCCTGCGCTAGTAACCGCGGAATTCCGGGCGCGCCCGCGCCAGAACGCGCGGTTTCGCGCTCTGATCGCGATTCTGGGCGCGCCTGCGCCAGTAACCGCGGAATCGCTCAGATTGCGATCCTGGGCGCGCCTGCGCCAGAACGCGCGGATTCGCGCTCAGTTTGCGATTCTGGGCGCGCGCGCCTCCGACATAGCGCGCGGATTCACACTCAGATTGCGATTCTGGGCGCGCCTGCGACAGAACGCGCGGATTCGCGCTCGGATTGCGATTCTGGGCGCGCCTGCGCCAGTAACGGCGGAATCGCACTCAGATTGCGATTCTGGGCGCGCCTGCAAAACGCGCGGTTTCGCGCTCGGATTGCGATTCTGGGCGCACCTGCGCCAGTAACCACCGAATCGCTCAGATTGCAATCCTGGGCGCGCCTGCGCCAGAACGCGCGGTTTTGCGCCCGGATTGCGATTCTGGGAGTGCCTGCGCCAGTAACCGCGGAGTCGCACTCAGATTGCGATTCTGGGCGCGCCTGCGCCAGGAACCGCGGTTTCGCGCTCGGCTTGCGAATCTAGGCGCGCCTGCGCCAGTCACCGCGGAATCACACTCAGATTGCGATTCTGGGCGCGCCCATAACAGAGCGTGCGGATGCACACTCACATTGCGATTCTGGGCGTGCCTGCGCCAGAACGCGCGGTTTCCTGCTCGGATTGCGATTCTGGGCGCACCTGCGCCAGTGACCGCGGAATCGCACTCAGATTGCAATTCTGGGCGCACACGCCAGTCACCGCGGAATCGCACTCAGATTGCGATTCTGAGCACGCAGCGTTTGAAGTAAATCGCGCAGAAACGAATCAACTCCTGTGCTGGGCGCGACAGCGCTCAGGAAGACTGCTTTGCTCAGATGAGCGCAGTCTGGACGCGCCAGTGCCGCAATGGCCTCGGCAGCGAAAGCTGCGAGCGATCTGCTTCGAATGCGCCTGGATTTGCTGGCAATGACCCCCCCGCAGCGAGAGCTGCCAACGAAGAGAAAATGCTTTGCAGAGGCCTTGGCGTTGCTTGCAGTGACCGCTGCCAACGAAGAGGGGCTTGCTTGCAGAGGCCCTGGGGTTTGCTTGCAGTGACCCCGCAGCGAAAGCTGCCAACGAAGAGGGGCTTGCTTTGCAGAGGCCCTGGGGTTTGCTTGCAGTGACCCCGCAGCGAAAGCTGCCAGCGAAGTTTCACGTGCTGCAACGCAGCGCACGACGCCCGACAGGACGTGAAGGGCCCGACAGGGCCAGAGCACGCTGCAAGCGTCTCCTCCTTGCGCCCGACAGGACGCAGCCAGCCCGCCTGGGCAATTCAGCCGCCGGTACTTGGTACCCCGCCCCGGACGCGGGCGGCCTCGCGGCACGGCACGCCACGACTGCCGGCACGGCAGACAGCACGGCACACTGCACGGCAGACGACGCTCACAGCGCACGGCACTGATGAGCACGGCACCACAGGCACAGCACGGCGCAGACGGCACCGCACACGGCAACCACACTAGCACGACACGACGACGACGAGAGGCTGAGGAGGGAATCGCCAGAATCTACCTTGCGGCGAAGACCTTTAGAATCCTCCTGCCAATCGACAAGGGCCCATGGTACATTGGCACTCTCCGCGGAGACGCGCCTTCTGTGCACACACTTCGGCGACGTCACGGCACGCGCGCGGGCGGTCCAGGTTTGGGGTTGCGGAGAACGGGTTCGGGCGCCGAGCCTCATACCCCCCCTGGGGCAGCCCTGCGTGGAGCCACGCGGCCTCTGCCAGCTCTGGAAAGAGGCAGGGCGGCCACCGCTGGACGAGCTCCGCCTGGACCTCAACAACGGCACCTTGCTCGTGGACCCTCGGATCTCGACGACGGGGGATCGCATGATGCCCTGGCCGCGCGGCACATGGCAGCCCGCGGGAGGCGGGCGGGCCCAGCGCGTGGTGATTCATGATCCGCGCGGGCCCTGCCATACGGCACGGGCGAAGCCCGACCCGTTGAAGGGCTATGCGAACACCCTGATCCTGGAAGGGTCCGAGGGCGGCTGGACCGCGCGAGCCCTGCGCCCGATGGAAATCTGGTGCGCCCAGGGGGGCGCGGCGGAGCTGTGGGATGTCCTGGGCCTTGGAGGTATGCCGATCGCCGAGCGCATGCGGCAGGCCGCCCGTGCACTCCCGCGCCGCACGGCCGTGGGCGGAGCGTCTGCTGAGGCAGGCCGTAGAGGCAGCAAGCGCAGGCGAGGCGCCCGGGGCGCGCGCTGGCGTCGGACCCTACCACGACCGACTCGCTAACGACGAGATGGTTAAGCTGTGGCTAAATAAAGGCCTGGCTTCAGGCCCCCGACCGCCCAAGCGGGCCATTCGAGGCTGCGCTGGAGGCGGGGAAGACGACGGACGACGCCGCTCGGTTGGCGGACCAGCTCGACCCCCCTGCTACCGCGCGGTCCACCGCAGCAGGGGAGGACGGGGCAGGCGGGGAGCGGGTCGGGGCGGTGACCTTCGCTGTTCCGGAAGGCGCGGGGATGCCCAGGCCAGGCGCCACGGACGGCGCGGGCGGCGAGGCGCGCCCCCGCGCAAGACCCGCCGGCGTACCCGCAGTGCCCATGCCCCCGCGCTGGTGAAGCCCGCCGCCTGGCGGTACGCGGGCGGGGGCGCCCCGAAAGGGGTTCAGGGTGAACTCACCGACCCTCGCGAGCTGGATGCGACCGCCACCGAGGCGATGCTGGCCAAGCTTGCCGAAGGGACGCGGGCCAACTACAGCGCCGGGTGGCGTAACTGGGTACTCTGGCGGAGGCTCCGAGGCCGGAGCCCGTACCTGCAGGGGGAGACTCGGGACGCCCGCCTTATGGATGAGGATGACCTCATCTGGTATGTCGTGTACCTGTACAAGGTGATGAAGAGGCGGGCCACGACCATCCGCCAGCGCCTGTTCGCCATTCGATATGCCCACACCCTGGCAGGGCTTGGGGATGTGACCTCCGATCGGCGCCGGCTCTGGACCACGATCGAGGGATTCCGCCGCTGGGACGGAAAGGCGAAACGGAAGCTCCCGGCCACACCCCGGATGTTGCTTTGGCTCCGCGAGTACTTGTTCGCCCACGGAACGGCCACGCGCCGAGAGGCGACCATCCTATGGGCGGCGCTTATGACGGGGTACTTCTTCATGCTCCGCGCGTCGGAGTATTTGGTCCAAGAGGACCGCTCCTGGAGCATGGGACGGGTGGTGTGGGCAGGACGTGCAGGGGCTGCGCGGGGGTACACCCAGCGCATGGCTCAGCGACTGCGACGAGGTAGTGCTGGCGATCACGTCGTCCAAGACGGACCAGTTTAACGCAGGTTGTGTACGCAACCATTACCGTTCGGGGGTGGAGTTGTGTGTCGTGGACGCACTCCAGAGGGAGCTGCCGGACCGGTTTGGACGAGGAACCGAGGCGGGGCCCCCCCTGTTCCGCCGGCCCGATGGCCACCCGATTATGCGGGAGGAGGTGCAGGGGCTCCTCCAGCTCGCGGCTGCCGCCTGCGGCGTGGACGCAGGCCAGATGGGATCCCACTCCCTGCGCATCGGGGGCGCGACGGCGTTGTACCACGCCTGTCGCGACCTGGAAGCGGTCAAGAGGTTCGGGAGGTGGTCCACGGACGCCTTCCACGGATACCTCTGGGAGGACCATCGTCGTCAGGCTCCATTCGCCCGAGGCATGGCGGAGGGCCACGCCTTACTGGCCCCGGACGCCCGCGGTGACGACGGCGTCGCGGCCGGCGCCCGCCCCGACCGGTTGGCCGGGAGCGACCCGCCCCCGTTTGGGAGCGACCTGAGGCCCTCGGAGCGCCCGGCCTGGGCGCCCGGGCGCCCCCCCTGGGCGCGCCCTTCCCTTCGGCGCGAGCAGGGTCAAATATGGAGGGGGAAGGAGAGGAGGGGCCGGTGAGATACGAGCCAGGGCGAGGAGTTAACGGGCGTGTTGGGAAGCAGCAGGCGGGTCCCACGGGTGTTCATGTCGGGGCGGGGGCTTCGCGTTGCGGGGGTATCCTGGTGGACCTCTCGCCCTCGACCCCCCCTTCGCTACCGCCCCCGATCGCCCCAGGCACGCCCACCTCCTCTTGGCCCTCACATCCGCAGCCATCTCCCACTCCAGAGCGAGGCACCGGATCAGCGCGCGCACCCCAGCCTCGCGCGCCAGCCGCGCCTCCGCCCCGCGCTCCGGCAGCGTGCACCATGGGATTCCTGGTGGGCCTGGTGGCCCCGGACCAGAGCAAGGCGCGCGGCCATGACTACAGCATCATGGCGGTGAACCCCCTCGGCGTCGTCGTCTCGGGGGCCGCACTGTCGGACGAGCTCCGGAGTGCCGCCCACAACATCCTGTACGCGGTGGTGGACGAGCTGGACAGCGAGGACCTCGTCGAGGTGGTCAACCACGACCACGAAGCAGCCCCGTGCATCGCGGCGGCTTGCCTGGCCGCGGGGGCGAGCGAGGACCACGGCCAGCTGGTGATCGTCGACGGCAAGCGGGGCGCGTGGGGAGTGGGCGCGGGGCCGAATATCAAAGTCCAGCGCCAGGCGGCCAAGCTGGCGCTCGCCCTGGCCCAGTTCCAGGGGCAGCCCATGCCGGAGCTCCGCGAGCTCTGCAAGCACAACAGGGGGCTGCTCGACATGATGCGCACGGTGGACGCGGAGGCCGTCGTGGAGCTCACCGACGTGGACGACGCCTCGAGCAGGGGCGAGGGGAGGTCGACCCCAGCCCCGGTCCTCGAGCCGGGCGAGGACGCCGTGACCGCGGCGCTGGCGCGCGCGGCCATCCGGCTGCAGCGCGGCGCCAGAGCAAAGGCGCTCCAGGGGAGCGCCCGCGGCCCCCGCGGTCCCCAAGCCAGGAGCGCCTCGCCGAGGAGGTCCGCAAGCGTGAAAGGCGCCCTGCGCCCTTGCGCTGGCGTGGCAAGGGCGCGGGCGACAAGGGCGGCAAGGGCGGCAAGGTCAAGGGCAAGTGCTCCGGCAAGGCCGCCAAGGGCACCAAGAGCGGCGGCAAGGGCGACAAGAGCGGCAAGAGCGGCCGCTCCAAGGGCGACCAGGGCAGCCGCGGCCGGAGTGAGCGTGACCGGCCCAGCGCGGGCGGTCGCGCGTCGAGGGGCGGCGATGGCGGCAGCCCCCGGGACCACAGTGAGCGCGGCGGAGACCGCAGCGGCGACGAGAGCCGCGATCGCCAGGGGAACACGCCATCCATCTAGGCGTGGAGCACCCCATATCCCGACGCCAGCGCCCGCGGCATCGCGGGCTGCGGGCTGAAGGCGGCGGCCCGTGAGTGAGCCGGCTTTCCTCTCAGCCTACCGTGCGCAGGTGGCGCCTGCGATCCTTTCAGGCGCCTGCGATCCTCTTTCTTTTAGCCTACGGTACGCAGGTGGCGCCTGCGATCCTTTTCCTTTTGAGGAGTTTGAACGTTGCGCGCACGTCGCGCGCTTCCTGGACCCGGCCGCGCCGCGCGTCCTGCGCGCCGTGCGGTCGGGGCCACACTTGCGCTCTGCGCCCGGCGCATCATGCGCCGCTCTTTTCTGTTCTTTTGCGCGCTCCGCGCACGCGCCGCGCCCGCGCTCTGGGCGCGCGGGGCGCGGAAGGCCTCAAGGTTGCAGGCAAGTGGCCGCGCGCGCGAGGCTCTTGCGGCCTCAGGATCCGCCCTCGCACTTCGGGCTGGGCGTCCCCGCGCGCGCGGCTGCGCTTTCTCTTTTCTCATGGCCAAGCGGCCGCAGGCGTGCCAGAGCGCGAGCGCGCGGGCCGTCAGGGCCCACGCCCAGGTGGAGATGCGCGTCGCCACGCTGCCATGAAAATACCATCGCCCTGTCCTGGTCCTTCTCTCGTCCCCTCCTCTCCTCCTCTCCCTCCGTTGATTGAGTGCACGCGTATCTCACTTGTATTGTCTGATTGGTTGTAGGCTGCAGGTTAAGTGGGAGGGGGTGTGGGCTCAGGTAGCCATTTTGGGTCCGTAGCGTTCGGCTCTGGCCGACGCGCGGGCGCCCACCCACCCCGCTTTGCTCCCAGACGCCTGCGCGGGCCAAGCGGCCGCAGGCGTGCCAGAGCGCGAGCGCGCGGTCCGTCGGGGCCCACGCGCTCGCGTCGGGCGTGGGCCGTCAGGGCCCACGCCCAGGTGGAGATGCGCGTCGCCACGCTGCCATGAAAATTCCATCGCCCTGTCCTGGTCCTTCTCTCGTCCCCTCCTCTCCTCCTCTCCCTCCGTTGAGTGCACGCGTACCTCACTTAACGGGAAGGAGGGATTTTGGATTGCGACGCTGTTGAAGCATATAGACTGTCAGCAAAAACTGGCGCGCAGCTGGCAGAGATGATTGCGAACACTCTGCACGGGCACCTAAGGTTCAAGGACAGTCAGTGCACAGTAACAGAGGCAGCGGCACAGAAGCGCGGGGCGGTCCTGGACCGATGCTGGCGACGCGGCCCTGATCGCCAGAACGCTTCAATACATATTGTACACATAAAAGGGGAAGGCGAGCACGCGCAGCACTCGTGCGCGTGGACAGACAACATGTCTCGACAACTCCTCTGCAACCGCTCCTCGCTCCTCATCCTGACCGGCGGAGGCACGGAATACCTGGCGGGCGATGGGGGGAGGGGAAACACACATCGCGGCCTGATTTGAACAGCAAAACGTGGCGACGTGTGTATCCATCCTAGCGGCTCGACTCGACTGTTAGCAGCGGCCGCTCGACTCTCCCTCGAGGGTACCCGTCGTGGACGGTGTGGGGCGGCGGCCGCGCGCGGGCGCACGCTGCTACTCTGCCGTCACGCTGGGCGCTCCCAGTTCTTCTGCTGAACTGCCCCGCCCTCCAATCCTGCCCGACTGACCAACTCGTAATGCTGGCTAGTCTCGCACTTGGTCAAACATTCCAACACCGAAAATTGGTTGCAACGTCCAAGGGGCGATCTGCTTGGCCGCTCCTTGGCTTGCACTCGATTGGCCGCAATGCGTTGCCTAATTTCATCTGTGAGCTCCACTGGCCGTGGTGGTGGAGGGGCACAACGGAGGAGGGAGGGGAGGAAACGAAGGGCTCCGTGCCATCTGGCTGAGACACGTTGCTGCCTTCGACAAAGGCTAAAACACTTCAACATACTGTTGTTCGTCGGAAGCCTCGATAGGGCCTGGGTCCCTGGGAGTCGCCTCAGGGTCAAGACCGGTCCCTGGCTCATGCGCACCTTCTGCGTCTGACGGCGCGGGTGGTAAACACCTGTGCCGTTCGGGGTCCGCACGGAGCCGTCCTGGACGGGGGCAGGACGCAAAATCTGGCGCCCAGGTCTCGTCTGTCCCGAGGTATGTGTCCCATTCTACATTGAACGCCCCAAGCGACCCACAGACCAGCTCCTCCTCCTCCTCTCTCATTTCCTGCGGCCATGATACCGTCCGCCATGACTTGGCACAAAGCTGGTGGGTATGTCTTCGTCTTCTTCTTGTCAGTACGCCAGTCTTTGCGAGCCCTGTCGAACCCCATTAGCACATCATGGGTCCCACGTTCGTGTGAGCCGCGCCCTCTCCCTGGTGTCTCGCATAGACGGTTGTGCAATGTGTCCACTCGCAGTGCCAGTATGCTTGTGCGAGCTCGTGCTACCTGACCGTGCTCACACTGATCAAAGTCGGTCGTTGTGGCCGCCAGGGAGGCAGCGACCGCCCTGAGAGCTGGGCACAGGAAAGAGCTGACCGCCTCTGCTCGCCAACTAGCCGGCATAGGGTGCTCCATCCAACAATTGGTCCTGCTGGTCAAGTGTATTGCAAAGAGTTCAACATTGCCCCTAGAAGCTCGTTCCCTACCCTGAGCTGTTCCATCGGTCGCGGAGTCACAGCCAATAGGCCCCAGAAATCGTCTTGGGAACGTAATGGTGGGGGCCCCATGTTTGGGGCCCATTGGATTGCTGACCATGTCTCGCATGGGCGCCCCGCCTGACAACACCACTCGACGTGCACGAATGTGTTACTTCCAAACCTCCAAGGATTCACGACGCATCATATTGCCTAGTACCGGGTCGATGGCGATGTCGATCGACAATACACAGACCGAGAAATCCGTATTGTAGTCAGCCCATTCAAGCGATGTTTGAATGTCCCCTGGCCGTCGTCGTCCACAGTAGAGGTTGAGAATGTAGTATTCTGACCGACGTATGGCCGATGGCAATGTCTGCGCAGCCTTGCCTGTGTGGTGCTCGGTAAGGAACATCCGAGACGGGTATCGTTCGTGCTGCGCTGGCGGGTATGGGCAGGTGGGTTGGCTTCCTGTTCGTCGGGGGACGGCGGAGGGGGTAGTAGGGCTGCGCAGGTTGCGGATGATAGATACGGGTCACTTTCCAGCAACATTTGTTTTGCATACGCCTGTGGGACCAGCTCCGCCACGTCACTGGTAAGCTGTGTAAGTGGCCCGAACACGCGTGTAGTATGTACAACCACGTGTCGGCTTGGCCTGCACACATGGTTGGTATGCTTAGCCATCTGCGCATTCTGGGGAGGTGTTTGAAGATGGTAAGCAGGGTTGTCCCTAGTCAGTATGTCGGCGAGTAGGCATCTGGGCGAGTCGATCGATAGGTGGTCGACAAGATGCGGCCGAGCGTTGAACTTCAGGGCGCGCCGTGCACGTGCCGTCGAACCCTGCATACCCCCGAGCAATCGTTATGAGCTGTTGATGCATACGTGCTATGTGTATGTGTGTGCGCAACACGCGGTGACGAGCAAAAAACCTCACCGCGCCAAGGGCACTCCATGTGTGTCACGGCTGCACTCGCTGGCGGCTGCACTATGAGTCCTCTCTCGTCTGTGTACACACGGTGGGGCACTCCCGCTGCGTGCACCTCTGCGAAGAAAAGCGATTCGGCGTGCTGCGCTAATGTACATCTGCTCTGATGCTGCGTGTACGCGTGCACTCCAATGCGTATGATGCGCTTCCGTGCCGGCTGACTGCGCCGAATGGACGACTCCCAAGCGCTGAGGTCGTCGGTTGGGAGTGGGAGATCCTGACATTGTTTGGCTGACCGTCGCAGCCATGTAAGGTCCTGAACCAACTGGCCCAAGGTCGTACGCCGTTGTTTCTGCTCATCGTCGTTGGCTGCACCCCACCCCGGTGAAACAAGAGCAAGGCCAGTTGAGGCCCTGCATGGTACAAGGGCCCCAACAAACGTAGCCTAGCAGCCCGTAGTGTGATATCTGGGGAGGGTCACTGTAGTTGGGCCAGGACCAGCTGGTCTGAAACCTGGGAGTCTTCCTCTTTGGAAGCGGACACGTGCGGCAGCACACTATATCTTCATATTCTCCACATGAACTAGTTTGGCCTCAGCTGTCGTGAGCGTCGGCCAATCACCTGCATTGTATAGTCACCCTGGCACGACGAGGCTGTCAGCAAGCACAAGTCGGTGATTTAGGGGGAGATCATCAGTCGCAAAGACGCGCCTACGAAGCACTTGGAGAGAGGACGCGGTGGATGCAGCGCGATAGCGTATCTCTGGCGTCATCGACGCTCCTGCGTCGAACACCGAGCCCAGATGTATGTAGTTGTGCACTATGGACGCGCTCGCTGTTCGAAGCCTGTCCGATGGGCCCATGATGTGCCCGCCATGCTCGTGCCGTGCTGCATGTCGTGCCTGCTTCGTGCCCTGCCCGCGCCACATGATGAGGGCTGCCGTCTTGGACGGCCCAACGTTAAACTTATGCCCCCTTCGTGCAAAGGCCTCCGGCACAAACGCAGCATCCTATACGACCACCCTTCGGGTGATAAGGAGGTGAGGGGGGGGGAAGGGACCAACGTCGCACTCGATCGATCTTACTATCGAACTCACTACCGATCTCACAATCGATCTCAATCGATCGATCTCGCAATCGATCTGACTATCGATCTCACAATCGATCTCACAATCGATCTCACATTCGGTCTCGCTATTGATCTCACAATCGATCTCACAATCGATCTCACAATCGATCTCACATTCGATCTGACTATCGATCTAACTATCGAGTTCA